CCCCCCCCCCCCAAAGTTTCTCCTCAGGATCTACACGAATCTCGTAGGTGACCTATTTTGAAATTAAAAATGGAGTTTGCATGCCTGCACGGTATATCACAGTGTTTTGTGTGGGTTTTTTTGCATGACTGGGCCTTTATATAGGTTTATAGTGGTTTATTCTACTGTCAGGAGTACATAGAATATAAAAACATTTTAATGTCATCATGTATACTGAAGGCTTTCATTACTATAGGGTTTGCTTGGCACCACCACATGATACAATATATGAAGGAATCCTGCAACAGTTGCAGGATGTAAACAGCACTGGTCTCTCTTGACCGTCGGTAGGAGGACCATGTCCACATAGGTTGTTATTAATGTCACTCCACCACTTGCTTTTTCTGTCATATGAAGTGCCCCGAGCAAATGCCTCTGTCCTGGTCCCTCTGCTGCTGAGGTGATTCACAGCCTGCAGGTAACATTACTGCTGGCAGAGGGAGGAGGGGGTGGTTTTTCTCAGCTAGCAGCGAAGTTTACAAGAATCTGCCAAATTTTAAGATATGTGGCAAACTAAGCTAAACAGTTAAACTACATAAAGACAGCTTTAGTTTAAGCTTGTTTTTTAACAATTCTCTATATTCACACTCTGTGCTTGTGTAAAACAGCGGGGGTGAATGAGGGATTAGGGTGGGCATGAGTATTTGAGTACTCAATTTGGACGTCAGGATTCATTCAACAGTTCAACGGTTCAAGTACTCTGTACACTGACCCTGTTTTATATTAAAAGTTTACATTTTTTGGACTGGACTGCTAGCAAAAATGATAGATCTGGAGGCTGACTGGATGCAGCGGGGAGTGGCTGGCAGCCCCCGCACAAAACAGACCAACTGTGTCAGATTCTGAAATAAGTCGTGACGGTTGGAATTTGAGAGCGGAAACCGAGCGTAGCGGCAGTGGGCTGCAGGAGGAAGAACGGCGGCACACTGAAGCCGAGCAGGCGGGTATGAACGGCGGGGAGAGCAGTGCGTTATCTGCGGGTAGTCCAGTTCATGGCTGGCTGTCCGCCTCGGACCAGCTCCGCTGCCCGTCACTTGAAGCTAACTCCGCCGGACCCACCACATCCACCTCGGCACCTGGTTGTTCAATAAATTAATTTCAAAATTGCACTTGTTTTACATTGTTGGCCAATTTAACTAAATGTGAAAGCATTAGATAATACTGGATATTTTTACAGGCCTACAACCTACAAAATTAACTGTTTAGCGTTAGCCAAATTTTGGTTCCGCTTGTGTGTTTTCAGTTAGACACGGACCCCTACCTGCATTTTCTCGTTGGTGTTAATTTTGGACCTTATTTTTAAATTAGATTTTTTTTTTCTCCGAGCACTCTATAATAATTTAATGTGACCATACATCCGGCTTTGCTTTGACATACACGCCAAACTCTGTTTAGAATGCTTGAAATTTTAAAAGTTTCCTTGCTGAATATCGGAGATGAACGCTGGTTTTTATTGACTTTACGTCTTTTTACTCTTGAACTTGCTGGGCCTGATTCCGGCAGTTTAAGCCGCTGACTATCACTCAGGACTCAGGTGCACTGTGTAGCACGTTCATGCACCGTTCTGCTGTGTGTGTTTCAGTTCAGTGAGTGGCACGACGTCGGATCTTCGGTCAAGCACTTCACAATTTGGTGAACGAATCTTTTAAACAAATCTTTTTAATGAATGGATACTAGTGATTCAGGACACTGAAAAGAAATGCTTTGCACATCACTAGGCCTACTTTGGACACTGGACAGAGTGGCTGCCTGTGACGATGGCGAGACTGTGTCTGTGTAGCGCTGCAGAGCTGCAGCAGTTTGTGTAGCTCTGTGTGTAACTGGCCTACACCATTCGAACAATGTGGACACAGCTACCCAATGAGGATTTTCCTTCATCTCAAGTACAGATATTGACAAATTTTACTCAGATTACACTCGTGCTCGTAAAAAGTACATTTTCCGTACTGGATACTCGTTTTCATCTGAATACTCGTACATTCCTAGTGAATACTATATTCAATAAATCACAAGAAAGGTTGAATGATGCCGACTGACTTTCTCTGTCTGGAATGAATGAATGACACAACACACAACGCTGACTGACAGCGATTCCTTGTTTAGGGTGAGCTGAGATGTGTTGCAGTACTTCTTGGTGTATTAAAGGGGTAAACAACATCCTTTCTTAGAGAATTTATTCATCAGACAGATTAATAGGACTTAAATTAGGTTTTGATAAATTACATTTTCAATTTTCAATTAAATGCCCAGCCTACTATTGCTTGCCCATGTAAAATGTATGTCAGCCTACCTTGCAGGTGTAGAACAGCTCTGAGTCGTCTTCTTGCAGCAGCACTGGTAGACACCGGAGAACTGCAATCCGGTCCACATTGATGTCTTGTGTTTGCTGTAGTGAAACGTAAGGAAAAAGAGAACAAAATGCAAATGCTTAAATACCAACCATATATATTTACACTGTTGTGGACGTTACTGTGCTGATTTGTTTTTCTATTTACTAGGGATGTCCCAAATAAACGTTTTTGGCCTGGATCGATATCTGAGTTCTTTGCCAATGCCAAGTCTGATCCACTATAATTATATTTATCTAAATGTTGATTAAATATATATCTGACACACTGAAATAATGCAGCTGTAGCCAACTAAATTTGACACACCTTATTTTACACATTTGTCTAGAACCAAAACTATAAAGTTCATAAGCTTAAATCATTTATAGGATATGAATTAATGTTTAACTGGGGAAATGTGACTCCTGAAATTGACGTTAAGCGATCAGCTCGAGAGAAGACCCATCAATGTGCTGGAGTTGTGGGAACTACGAAAACACACGACCGTACAGGTGTTACAGAGTGGAGCTTCTTCTCTCACAAATGATCTTTGACTGTGTGCAAACAAACTGACCACAGAAAAGTTTGCTTTTGGCATGTTGTTTAGTAACTCACTGATATGACATGCCATTGGCAACATTTGCCATTTTAAGCGGAGGAAGCGGCTGTCTGCGCTGGCTAAAAATGAGAAGCTATTATTTGAGTGCTCGGTATACTGCTCTTTGCTAAAAAAGAAGAGAGATAACAGATTTGTTAATGATTAGTTACAATCCATGTTTTGCCAACCCGGGTGTCATAGTAATTTTTCACATTCACACAATCTAATTTTCACTCAAATATACAAGCAAAATCCTCACAAGCTGCTGTAAAGGACAGCAGCATTGTAACACTAGCAAGCTGAGGTGGACAAAACAAAGTAGAGCACAGTAAAGAAAAGATCATACTGATCCATTAAAATAGGTTCCTATCTGCTCCTGTACTGATCCTTTGGATCTGCTCTGGACATTCCTATAATTTACCTGAGAGTATGCCTTTAAGATGGAAGAGATCTTCTGGGCACATCGACCAGATTTTCCCTGCATCTCTCTGGCTATAGCCAGCAAACGATCTGTGTGTTGATCCAATGCAGCATACAGTTCAACTCTCAGCTGCTGGTTGGTGATGCGTTGGTATTCTGTGCGAACCTGATAAAAACAAAGTGACCTCAATCACTCCCCCTTAACATCAAAAACATACCAATAATATCTCAGTCTATGTATCTCAGATGATTGCTAGCTACAACACACAATGTGACAAATACATGAGAAAACACAGTGTGACAAGTACAAAAATTAACAAATCAAATGAACTACATTCCATAGCTCTAAATACATACACTTTAAGTACCTGGTGTTCCAGGAAAAGAGCTGGCCATCTTTCCTGAACATGCTCCACAGAGGGACTTGAATTTACAATCTCCAGCCTTCTTGCAGCAAAGGTCTTGTTCATGTTGGTGTCTATCACTGAGAAATTTATGCTGTCTTTATCCTTTTTCTCCATTTCCATCAACATGTTGACTCTGAGCACTTCCAAAGTGTCCAGCGTTTCCCCCTGAGGAAGCTGCGGCAGATAATTGACTTCTGCACGTCGTGGCCGCTTAATGGAGGCATGTGGAGAAGCTGCATCAGGATTGGCTCTGCTCCTCCTGCCACTGTTCACTTTGACCTCTGGGCATCCAGATTTGCACAGCTTGCGTCGGTAATTGTTCATTTTGTTTGTAAGGCTGTCCTTCCAGCCTTCCCAGCCATTTTTGGACCCTGTCTCCTCTAAACATGGATGTTTACGCACCAAGGCCTCAGCAGCCTGAAAGATTTCTCTGCCACTTGGGTAGGCTTTGTATTGGTACATTGCACAGCCCATTCCATCAAGGATCTTGCTCTTTTGTTCCTTTGTTAAAGTCAGGCGCCTTCCATGCTGTTGTTTTGCATCATTTGCTTCTCTTAATAGAAACTCAATGTCGTGTGAGAACGTGGGAACAGGAAATACTTTTGGCCATGCAGAGCTTCTTTGGGGTGTTTGGCAGCTTGAACTTTCCCCACTATCGCTAGTCCAGCTTGATGTTGAGCTAATATCGTGCTCTATTATCTTGACCAATTTGACTGTACCCATGTTTGGAATTTCCTCAATCATGTTTAAATTTACCAGCTGGTTATTAAACTCAGGATCTTCGAATTGGATCAGGAAATTGAATGGGATCTCCAGTTTCTGACGAAGCAAACAGGTCAGCTGAGCGACAGAATCAGGGCGACATTGAAATGTCACCCTCTCAATGCCACCCTCTGGTAGGATGACACGTAGACGAAATGTCTCGGGTTCTGTCATGGTCCTACAAATGGTGGGAGGATAATATGGTTATCTTCAGTCCAGCCAAAAAGTAATAAAACAGTTACAATCCATTTTCTTTGCTTGAGTTGCACTTACATTTATATTCAAACTTAACCTTAATAATGTTATTTTCTAATCTCACCCATACAGGGGTCTGTTGTGACTTGAAAAAACAGTCTCCATTCCATCATTTTTCATTTTGTTTTTGTCTGCATTACTTTGATCACTTTTTAACAATAATCTATAGGAAGCTCTTATATACAATATTCTGTTTAATGTTTGTTTATCACATTCTTCAACCTAATTTTAACAGCTAAATGGCATTTTGTGATTCAATGTTCACCAAGTGCAACTTGCATTTAGCTCAGAAGAATGAAGTGCTTGTTCGTAATAAGGAGTTGTCCACTTTTCGTGTAGGCGGTTAAAGGGTTAACATGATGGAGTTCTGATGGCCTCTTCACATCATGTGATTCTTGTGCAGTCACCTCATAGGCACGAAGGTGTTCTCTGAACCAGGACTGGTAATTCTGGCAATCAAATAATACTTGGTCGTTGACAAGTATTATATCCACAATCTGTTTGAACTGGGGTAACCCCCCTCTCACTCCAGTGCACACAAACATGCCACTGACATAGTAAATGCTGTCTATGGCAATTTTTGAAGTGCGATACACTGTGGGGCTGTTTGTTATCTGATGTATAACACTCTGGGCTTCTGGTGTAAGTGTGTTTACAAACGCATTTTTCACAGCAAAGGTCTCCACTGAGGGCTTGAAGAAATTGGGCAATGACAGATGATAGGCCATCTGTTGCTGATGCTTGTAAGCAAGTGTTTTAGGGATGTTTTTGAAGTTCTGAGCATCATATACTATTTTCTTAAACACTTTGTGTTTTCCCTCAAATCTAATCGTCCAAAAATGCACAAGAGGGCCAAAACGGCGAATCATCTGTGGATAGTGCTCAATGTAATGGTGTTTTGGTCGCAATTTGACATTTGGAAACACCTCCTGGAATAACTGGCGATGGTCAGAAATTTTCATAGACAAGTACTGTATCACATCCTCTGTGAAAACTGGGGACAAAACTAATTCCACCAAGTCTTTCAAATGCATCAAGACCTCCCACGCTTTGTCTTCTACAGGGACCACAGTGCCAATAATGGTCGGAAGAAGCCTTATCAGTGTCAAATTTTCATGACCATTGCCTCCAATGGTCTGCCTTCTGAAAAAGGTTTTGGGAATAGGCTGAGGACGATCAACTTTGTCAGCATTCTCAAAAGGAAACTGCAAGATAGCTTGATTCAACTGTTCCAGGGAGAAATGCTTTTTTCTTATTAGCTCTTGTAAACACAGAGCTAACTCCACTGGTACAACACCTTCTAAGAAGTCATGGAGGATGTCTGGAGGAAATCCGCTTGTGGTATGAAAGTACTCCAGATGCTGTGCGAAACAACAAGCCGCCTTTACACCATAATCCTCCACAACATTGCCAGTTTCAATGTCAGTGCACAACTGGTCATGACTTTCCTTTGTCCTCAACTCAAATGTTGTTGCCTCACGTCTTTGAATTTCATCCTTGGATGCATAACAAAATCTGCAAGGGTATGGTCCACTGAAGTTTTCTTTGAACCCTGCAAGTCCATGTGCAGCTAAATTGTCTGCCACAACACACAACAACGTCCCGTGAACATTTTCGCCGACACTCTCCACAAAGACACCATCACTTTCTAGGACTCTCAAATCATTCAGAAGTGGCTCAAAAACCTTTTCGTAGCCACAACTCTTCAGGTCATTTGAATTGCAGAGTAAACCCAGCTGTGTAGTGTGCAGAGCTGCGCGATGTTTGTATGGAATATTTGCGAGAGTCCAATAAACACAGCACATTTTGTGTATCTTTCTTGATGTGCCCAGTGGGTTGGCCACCTCAAAATCATCAATGTAGAGTTGAATGGCAAGTTTTAAATCCTCTGATGACAGCAGCATATTGCCTTTACAGAACAGCCCGTCACGATAGGTCTCATACTTGCCATCTTTTTGGACAGACAACTGCAATATCTGCTCTAAGACATCCCTTTTTTTGAGAAGCTCTTGCAACATGGAGAGGATGGGGACATACATAGTTGAATATTTTGCACCGACAACGCAATACTCAATTGGTTTCACCACAGGGAAATGTTGCTCATAGTATGATTTTCTTCTTTTTGATGTTGACAAAGGCCCGTCTCTAGAAGTGCAGCTTCTAAGCACATCACTGGTGACAATTGCATTAACAATTTCAGTCACAACCTCGCTGCTGACGTCACAATTGTGTTTTTGTAGGATTTGAGTCACAGTGTCTTCAAGTACTGGACTGGAGAGTGACCGCAACTGATCCAAGCCTTGTAACATTTCTTGAGTAGCACTCTCTGAGACATGAAGGATAGTTTGTGTTTTCAGGAGGAGAGAAGCCAAGTTGTGTTCAAGCTGCTGTTTCAGAGAATCTAAGTTTTCACTTTCTTCATTTGGTTCATCGTTGCTGCCACAAACTAGGTCATTCTGAAGTGGACTGACATCATCATGGGACTGTGTTGGTCTTACAACAGTGTCCCTGAAATCATTTATCCCACATGATTTATGGTTTCTTGACTTATGAGAATCAAATGTTGAGCAGACATTTGTCTGGAATGAACAGTCTTTAAATGGGCACTGAACCATTTCATTTTTCCTTAAATGCAGTCTTAAATGCGATATAATGTCTGGCCCATAAGGTTGTGTAAAAGCACAATTTGGACAGTGGAAGGCCAGATGTGGGTCATTTGCTGGCTTTGGTTGTGGCTCTGTGTGTATTCTGGTAAGATGAATTTTCAGTGCATTTTGAGAGGCGAAGGTGCACACACAGCCATCATATACACATGGCAAGGGGCTGATTCTGCTGTGTTGACTATGTACAAGATGATAATGATGGAGAAGACTGTTTTTTGATTGACAGTGGAAATCGCAGAGCTTACAATTCCATGTCATTTTGAAACTTTGCCATAATCTGCAAAAATACAGATGGAAAAAAATGATTATGTTCAGTTACATTATTATGTTGTCTGTGGTCTGCATCTTTAGATGTATCGTTCAAGAATCAAGAGATGTTATTGGTTCACTTCACCTTTTGTTGCCGTAGGTCTCTCTTGAAGCCGTGAAGGACTGTAGCTTTCCTAAAGAGGACAGGGAAAACAGGTTCGGTTTCCTGAGGAAAGAAAAGAAAAAAACGAGTTGTTGACTCGATGATACGTTACTTTATCACTGCGGTAAGAAAAAATTCATTCTGTCACAGCCCTAGCTGAGTGGAAAGCATGAATAGCCCCTAAAGTTATGTAGTAGGCCTATGGCTCTTATCAAATTACCACTGACATATTTTTAACAAACACTGATGATGATCAAGTACTGCTGCGGTGGGGGTGTTACCGGTGACATATGTGTGCCTAATGCCACATCCATGACACATCAGAATTATGAGATACCGACTTGTAAATAGCATTCATATCAACAACAGTCACTCGAGCAGAACGAGGGTAAACAAGCCCTTGTTCAGAGAGAGAGATAGAAAGAGAACACGAGTGAGTGAAGGGTTCCCACACCTTCTTAAACACCAAATTCAAGGACTTTTTAAGGACTTTCCAGGCACAATTCCCTCTTCTGTGGTCTGTGTAGCACAGTGGTCTCCAATCCTGCATGTTTTAGGTATCTCCCCACTCTAACACGCCTGACAAGGCCCTTGACAAGCTTCAGCTGCTTGATAAAGAGTTAATAATTAGAATCAGGTGTGTTAGAGAGGGGAGATAAACGACATTGTCATTTTAAGACCATTTTATGCCACTGATATAATGACACGAATTAAAAGGTAATTGCTCTTTGAAAGGGTGTACTTGCATTATTATGCTATATTAAGTGTATTCAGACATTCATTCATTCCTTAACAGGCAACATACTGCCAATCCAGTTTCTTGTGAATTGTTTTAGTTTAAAGTAAGTAAATAATGTGGTTCATGTTGCTTGGTTTGAATTAGTTTATAGAAGAAATTTCAAAACATACTATTTACATTATTTACAGTAAATAAGTGAGAAATGTTTTAACCTGCTAATGGTAATTATGTAATATTACTATGGACAGAAAATGTAGTGTAAAAATAAAATCCTATTGTCTGTCCTGTTTATTGCTTGGGCACTGTTATTTACGTGACAACACCTGAACATAACACACACAGACACACATTGGCTGTTTGTTTCTACCGCTCCCCTCGCTGTCTCGGACCTCCAGCCGCCCGCCTCCGCCTTGATTAAACGCTGAAAATAAAATAAAAGAGGGAGACAGGTTTTTCATATTTTATCTTATTTTGTTTTATCTCTCCCTCTCCTCTAGCTAGAAGCGTCGGACCTCCCGCCTCCCGCTCCCGTCTCAAACACAGAGGTCTCCCTCTCTGCTGAGCACCCACGGCGCACGCCCGGCCTGTTAAATAGCCTGTAACCGTAACCACTGTGTGACAAAAAGTGCTTTGGTCATTAAATAATGTCGGTTCGGGTTCGGACAGAAATATGCTGCCCGTGCCGCACTCTAACACACACACACACACACACACACACACACACACGGAAAACCGGACATTATCATCAGTTTATTAAAAAAACCCGGACGGGACGTGAAAAGTGGACATGTCCGGGCAAAAGAGGACGTTTGGTCAGCCTACACAACACTCATTAGCCTCGAGTAACACGTTATCACTTCAACTGGTTCGCTGTCGCTTTGTGTGTGTGTGTCGGACGGTGAAACTCCAACACAGAGAGCAGACGAGAGGACAGAGGCAGCGCGACCACAAATGACAGCAAAACGTGTCTCAGCTGGTTTAGCTAACGTTAGCAGCTTCAGTTCGTTAACTTATAGTGGACAAGCTCTGCTGCATGCATGCCAAGGCAGCTGTGTGGCGCCGCGTCCATGTCCCATGTATTTCGTGTTCATCATGATTTTGATTCACAAAGCACATTCTAACCTACTAACTATTCTCTGTACATCTGTGCGCCTTACACATGCAACAACACTTGCAACACTTGCTAGCATTCGTCAAGTTGGCACAGCGTCAAAGGGGCTAACGTTAGTTTGAGGTCAAGAAAGTAAGTTTAGCCGTACAGTGTAATCAATTTAAAACATAATTATTGTAACCTTACCGTTTACCATGATGTGAGAGCCTCTCCGCCTCTGGCAGAATCCACAATGATCGCGCCGAAATGTCAACGTCGGTTAACGATCGTGTCCTGCTGGCTCTGATAGGCTGGCAGCGGCAGGATCAGACCTTTCGTCATCAGCCTCCTCGGTTACCTATTGGTGCTTGGCTGAAACTTGAACTTTGGAAGAATGCGCGGCTTTCCTTAGAAAAATAACCTATTTTACGGTGACCAGACGTCCCCGGTTTCCGGGGACAGCCCCCGATATGGGTGACCTGTCCCTGGTAGAAGCTGTCCCCGAAAATGTCCCCGATTTTGACACTGAATGTGTTGAAAATACGCGCAGACTCAAACGGCAGTTATTACGGCAGTCAGTAAACGCATCGCCAGAGAAGACGTCGTATGATGTACATACGTTATCAGGAAGCACGACCAGACGCAGCAGCATCAACAACAATCTAGAGGCAGCAAAAAGGAGAGAAGAGGAGACCAGCGGCCGCGTTAAATGGTATGCTGTGTATGAACTTATTTATTTTGTGTGAGCTGGCAGTAGACTTGACTGTGTGTGTATGTGAAGTGAGGTAAAGTAATTATGATTGTAACATGCAGTGTGTAATATGCAGGAGAAGAGATAGAAGGATAAACTGGAACTGAATGTAGCCTGTCCCCCTGATGAGTGACTTTTGTGAGTGCACTTTATAAATGTAGGCTATTCTTTGATTTTAATAAAGTAGCATTTTGTTGATGTTGTTTAGCCTTGCTGATGCTGTTGCATGGGGGATACAGTTATTTTTATTGTATGAAAAAAATCATGTCTGCAGTAGAAAGTTGCACTTTGGAAATTTGGTTTGGTACATAGTGATACATGGTCTGAAAGGTTTAGGAACCTCTGATGTAGCACATTTCAAACAGAGGTAATTACATAGAGCAGATAAAAAAGAGCACAATGACTAAATTATATAAGTATATTACCAAAACTGATGTTATTTCTTTAAGAAACTATTCATCTACTATTGGCTCTGTTCTTGCAGTTCTTCTCATGTTCTCCTCTGCTCTTATTCTACCCAGGCTCCTGAGGCGGAGGCTACGGAGGTGGATGAATGAGGAGATCACGGTGATGTCACCCATTTTTTTGATTACCACCTTTTGTGTCATAAATATCAGTTCAGTATTCAGGTATGAGTAGGAANGAAACCTTTGACCAAAAAAATCCATCCTCAAGCTAACAAGATTAAGATATTTTTGTCTTCCTCAGTGGATGGATGGTTGGTGATGTCACTCATTTGTTTGATTGCAACCTTTTGTGTAATAAAAGCTGGTCAAAATACATGAAAAAGTACTTGTCCCCGTTTTTTATTTCATAATGATAATATTTAATGATTTTTCACCGCCGCACTGAAAATGTCCTCGATTTTCATCTCAGAAATCTGGTTACCTTAACCTATTTCCATGTACTATCTAACATTACATTGCATATTATGCATAATAAATGACATGAACATTATGTTCTATTATGTTAGGTAGTTGAAAGTTACTTTCACAGAGTTTGTACATTCATTTAGATACAGTCTGGCTCAGTCTGTTTTTATGCAGGGTTTTCTCAATGCCAACCACATTATTTCCAATGAAGTAATAGATCATTTTTAATGGAGTGGAGTTCACAGAAAATACCACCTCATATATATGCACATATCAAAAATTCCTATAGGCTAGTCCATACTGTATCCATACTGTATCTATTTGTTATTTCATCAATCAGAATCAGAATCAGAATCAGCTTTATTGGCCAAGTATGTGAACACATACAAGGAATTTGACTCAGTTTTTTTCCTTCGCTCACAATGTACAGACATAAACAGGAGTGGTATAAAAATGGTATAAAAATATAAATAAGTAAATAAGTAAAGTGTCAAGTGTTCAGAGGCCCTGTCTATTATAAATATGTATTTAAGTATATATACAATATTTTATTTACAGTGTGGATTTGTAGTGCAATTTAGTCTGTATGTAAAAGTCTGTGGGTGGATGGAGTCAGGGGGTCAGGGGGTTACTGACACTGGGTGACTGATATAGTGTTCATCAGTGTGACGGCCTGGGGGAAGAAACTGTTCTTGTGTCTGGCTGTTTTGGTGTACAGTGTTCTGTAGCGCCTGCCAGAGGGGAGAAATTCAAACAGATTGGTGTGATGGGTCTGCAGAGATGTTTCCTGCCCGTTTCCTGACTCTGGATGAGTATAGGTCCTGGATGGTGGGCAGTTTAGTACCAATGATTTTTTCTGCAGTCCTGATTGTCCGTTTCAGTCTGTTCCTGTCCTGTTTGGTGGCTGATTGTTATTTCATCAGGGTTAATAATATTCTCATCTCAGCCTCATGCAGCCCACTGTCAACATTAACTGTCATCATCATGTTGGCTGTTATAAACAATACTATGCCCTTAAATTCACACATTCTCATGTTACTACTCAGATGGTTACTGCTTTCATTCACCAAATTATTTTTGTCCTGTCCATAACTGTCAACTTACTGACATATTGACAGTATGCTTATTACCTATTCACGGTATGTTATACTTACTTATATCATAATCAACACTTATGTTGACTATACCACATCGACATCCTCCTGGATCCATATTCTTCATGTCTACATACTATCTATAATTTTGTCACCCATGATTGTCCACTGTGATTTTATGTTGGTCTATTCTGTACATGCAACAGTCGTTATAGTTTTTGATGCTTGTTGTGTTTGTGGCAAATGTGCTTACTTGCAGCCATAGCTGAAGATTGTTTTGGTTTGTGTTATGCGATGTACTCTATATCAGAGATATCTCTGTGTATATGTATTGGAAACTCCGCCCTTCCAGCACGCCCGGACGCACGGACTGCGCTGGTTGAGTTTTGGAGCGCACCCAAACATAAGCGGTGGGCGGGCGCGATCGGCAAGTTCTCGAAGATACCAAGCAGGCCAGCAGCGGCACACGCTGCCAGACGCAAAACGGACTTTCATCGTGAGTGTAATGCTATATATGCAAACTTATTAGGAGATAGACATAAGTTAATGTTGACAATAGTTTGCACGGTTTAGCGTCAACCTTAGCTATTTTGCAACTTCATAACAAAGGTATTTTCCGCTCACGCATGTTAACGTTAGCCAATGTTATTAGCATAATGCATTAGCAACATTGCTACAGATAACATTACCCTGCTGAGCGAGTATGGGCTATCTTGTAATAAAATGAAAATAAAGAGTAAAACTAATAGGTCAGTATTGTAAATGTGAGGCACAGCCTTCTTTCTTCCCACATAGTCTACATTTCTATTGACATGGTAGTTTCGTTAATTAAGCTAACTTGCTTTTCATTGGTAACGTTATTGTACACATGAAATCAAAGTGCATTTAAATTTTTACAGAACCTACATATTAAAGTCTACTGCTGTGTGATTACACTTTGCATAGTGAAAAAGCTGCAAAATTAGTTGTAATCAGAGTGCATATAGATTAAACTGGTTCGGCAGTAATGATGCTGAGTTAAAAGGAATAGTTCTAGATTTTAGGGAGTATGCTTAAGGTTATGTGTTGTTTTGCGAGAGTTGGATTAGAAGATGGATACCACTTGTCTGAGTGTTATGGAGCTGGAGCCAGGAGATGATTATCCTGGCTCTGTCAAGAGTTCAAAAACACAAGTTCACTAATCACCTTTGTATAATTCTAACACAAACAGAAATGTAAAACCAGCACTGAATACACAGAATATATTTTGTTTAGTTTTTGTTGGCAGCATCTGAGAGGTGATGATTCAAATGTATGGTAATTTTTTAAGTTGTAGTTTGTGGAATTGTTTTATCAGATTGTATTATACTGTAATATTTTCCATTCTAAGTAGACGCAATAGTAGTAACACCATTAATATTTTGTAATTGGAAAAATTTTTATTGGTGTGTCAGTATTTCATCATAGGATAAAATAAATCTGAAACAAATTGATTGTTGTAGAGACATGGCAGAATATCAGAATAATAGTTTCAGGTATAATTGTGCAATATTAGTGCCCACAGAGTGGAAATCATTTCTGTAATGTATTTCATGTTATATATGAATCTCCATTGTCTTTTAACTAAATGCTGTAATCCTCTTTTTTTCTTCTTAGAAATGTCTTCTACCTTCAGACTACGAGTGGTGTTTGAGGATGGTGCCATTGAAAGGATGGTGCTTCCAGAACAGCCACATTCTGTCAGCCACCTCAAATTTTTAGTGATGCAACATTTCAGTATTGATGGCCAAATTGAACTCCAGTTTCAAGACCCTCAGTCAGACATAATGTGTAGTCTGACCTGTACTGATAACCTTTCAAATAAAGGCACAATCAAGATATTGAGGGTACAGCAAACCATTTCCAACTCTCAGCCATTACAGGACACTCAGCATGTAACTACCCCACATCATTCTGGATCATCAAGTGAACACTTTTGCTTGCCAACCTTTTCTCAAGCCATGGACTTAATTCTAAGGAAAGGAAATGAAGAGCATTTCAAGCATGGAAACCAGCTGATTTTAACGAGAGAGCAAAGACAAGAGATTCTTGATGTTGTAGCAAGAGCATTGTATGATAGAAATGTCTGTCCAAGTGAAAGTGATTTTGAGGAAGCTGCAGAGGCCTTGATCAAACAATTCCCATGCATTGCACATCGTGGTACACCAAAAGGATGGGGGGGATGGAAGATCGGTCTCAAATTCAAATTAGGCAAATACAGAAGTACAGCAGAGAGGGGAGGATGCACAGAGGCTGCTGAGAAGAGCTGTAAAGATGTCACTGACCATGAGCCATCTTTTAAGCGCCCTTGCATGGTTGCGGTCAGTTCTGCACAGTTTCCCCAAGGAGAAAGTGAACAAGATCTAGAAGAGCTGAGAGTCAGAATGGCTTTGGAGATGAAGAAAGTACACAAAGATCTTGCTGCAATTAACCGCTGCATGGGAAAGACTTTTGCATTAAGAAGACACGAAATTGTAAATAGCAGCCCTGCTATAACAACTGTAGAGAACAGATGGCCGGCCATGTTTCTTCAAGCACAGGTAATTGTATTGCTTAAAGGATGAATGGTACTGGGTTATCTGTGCTGCATGTGAAGTGCTGTGACACCTGCAAATAGTACAAAAGTCTTCCCAGTAATTGTACCAGGTCTGTATTATAGTTGACTACATATCTGTGTCCATGAGCCTTCTGCTGCTTCGGCTGCTCTTTAATGTTGGATAAATGGATTATGATGTATCATAAAAGCTTCTCAGTGATGTTATGTATACATAACTTAAATCAATTTGTCTAAACAACATTAAATGTATGCATTCTTTTCAGCTTTTGTCGAATCTTACTTTGAGTTCAGTTGTGTGTAAGCCTTTTATATCTCTTACTGACATTTAGATTTGTGCTGAATTTCAACGGATCACTAACCAGAACCTCCTGCGATCATTCTACGATGTACTCGACAAACACTCAGAGCGGTTGTTGAATCTGTCCCGTGAGAAGCAGCTTGGCAAGTTCGGACATCGGTTGTCAGCTATTCTGAAGATGTATGATGCCAATGTGGTATGTAGTTTGAGTTTAAGTACAAGTGGAGTATCAATTTGTGGTTAGTTAGTGGTAGTACTTGTGGTTCACACGCTGTTTACATTAGTCTGCTTGTTTTCTCTACCTTTTCAGCAAGCAAGGGATGTCAGCATGACAAGAACAGCTGCCATCCATTGTCTCCCAGCTCTACTTGGTGAGGGTGACTCTGAAGTGTTCAAAGTCTGCAAGGTGAGTTATTCCCAAGGATGAAACTGGTGTTGTTATAACCTGATTTATGTAGTATTTAAGGATTGCGGTCTTAGCTATAACCCTATTCGTGTCAAGTGTTTTTTTGTATTTCTGCGTGAAGGGTTAACGGCGTAGCTGTGAAACCTACGCACGTAGTCACCGTACCTACGCCGTAGCTGGCGTGCCCCTCCTCAACAATGTAACTACATGTCAGGGCTACAGCAGCTACATGGATAGCACATGGAGACCGCAAAAACTGTGATTGGTGCTGCCTGTGTTTTTCTGATGCTGGTAGAGATTGTTGATAGTGAACACCACATTAAGGAAGTTCAGGGATTAAAGTTCTCCGTCGCTATGACAGAGTGCCGTCATTGGATTCTAGAGACCATGTATATAAAGGATTAAAGCAAAAAAAAATCTTCTGACTGAAATTTATTTTCACGTTAAGTCATATTACCCATCTACAATTTGTAAAACAAGTTACAGAGGAGGCCCCCATATTAGCCTTCGACTATCTATGAAAGAAAACTGATACTTTTTCTTTTTCGCAGGGCTTGGCTAAGTTTTTAGTCTTACAAATAATCAACCATCTACATAACTTTTGTGTCTGTTTATCTTTCAAATAGCCTATGTTCTACATCTCATCTTACTTTTCATACTTTAAAGGACGAGTTCATTATTTGTATTTTTGAGGTTTTATATCGTTCTGTAGCTTTTCATTATGTTCGCGTTCCATATGTATTCAAATCCGTATTTTCTCATTTTGGTCCAAGTACGTATGTTTCAGGGTCAAAATCAGGCAAAATGCTATTTTCCCAAGCCCTTCTGAAAAGTTTTTCCCACGTGACCTGACGTAGGTTTCTGCATGATGACATTGCTGCATATAAACCTCCTATCGCGACTGTCAAACCGGCTTCACCCTGCCGTCGGATCTTCACCCCCACTGAGAGGCTTGCCTCAGTTCCGAGAACACTGGGCTAGGCTAACTGACCACTGAAAATTATCGTGTCCATCTCATCTACCAGAGAGACGCCGCTGCGGTCATCCCAGCTCCTGTCACTGAACAAGCGCCGTGAAGGTGCCCGCCGCTGCAACTCCTCCACAGGCTGCCGTGGAGGAGAGGAGGCAGCAGCGGCCACAGGAGGAGAGGAGGCAGTCTGCCGATGCAGCGCTTGATCGGGTGGAGGGAGGCAGTGACAGGAGCTGACCGCGGGAGCGTCTCTCTGGTAAACGAAATGGACAGGATCATATCAGTGGCGACTTCCCAGACCCTGACAGTGGGCACGAGTCAGACGACTCAGCTCCCTCCATCTTGGGCTCTCCTCATCCCGACCGCGGCCAGGAGCCCTGCCACAGCGGCTCTCTCCTTCGCCATATGCCGGCCGTCAAAGCTAACAAGCACACTGTCAGCAAACTCCGTGTGTGTATGTTGTGTTAGCGCTAACCGGTGTCACTGCTTTTTCTGAGTGGGCGTTTCCATTTGAAAAACCTGGAAAAGAATACCAATGGAGTCGCTCTTTAAGTAGCCTACATTGTGCTGATAATACTTACATACTTTGACTTAGCCTTGGCATGATACACGGGTTGTACACAAAGCTGATATTGACTGCCCCGTATGCAAATATTAGTGGTTTTGGAACCTTGACTTTTTCAAACCAAGGTATACTGTGAAACCAGAGACCAGCCCATGCCTATATATAAGTATATGTATAGAAGCAGTGAAGAATTGAGCAATTAGGTGAGCCTGAACTCACTTGGCCTGTGAAGACATCGGTTCCGTCAACCGTAATCAACTGATCACTGAAATCTCATAATCTTCCATGTACAGCAGGCATCGAGGGCTAATGTGGGGACCTTCTCTGTAACTTTTTGTAAATTTGTAAACTCTGTAAAATGTTTTATTTTTGCTTTAATCCCTTAGTAAGTTGAAGAAAGACTCAGTAATCTACTGCTTTTCAGTAACACATCTAACAAAGCCATGTCTTCTGCAAACCTTATCCTCGCCTTGACTGCCGCTCCATATCACAATGAGTGAAAGAACGTAAACATGGTGATTGTATGGCAGTAGTCTCCTATTCAGTAATGACAACAGGCGAAGTGTAAGCTACCTGAATACAACTATATAAGGACGTGCATAGCCTACCGTTGCTCCATATCACAAAGTGAATAAAAGAATGTAAACATAGTTACTGTGGAGATTCAAATTAAAGCATGATATGGCCTTATCATGTATGATATATCTGTTTAGTGTTTCAGTGGTGGCATGAACAGGTGAAATCTGATGCTGAACTATTAAACAAAACATATACCATAGGTATCTACGGTAGGACTGCTGTTAACCCCTTGTGTGACGTAGGGTTGGGTGATATGACACATTTATCATGATAGTTTTTGTTCTAGCTTAAAGGTTCCCTTAAAGCTATAGTCAGCGAATCAAAGTCAATACACTCTGTCAAATTCAGCAAATATCTCCTCACAGTCCACTAACTGTTCGTTCTGTGTGCGCTGAAGAAAATCCAGTTTTTGTACACAGCCCAGAATCACTAACTCCACCTTTAAGCTTAAGATTCACTAGTAGTAGTTTCAGAACCTAAAGAATGACCATATTATATGAGCTGCAAATGAGAAAAATTTTCACTTGTCAGTCAGAATCCTTATAAATAAATGTGACTAAATATAGTTTCAATATGCACAAATAATCACCTACCGATTTTTGAGATCACATACCGATCTTTGAGATCGGATCAGGATATCCCTAGTGATTACAGATAAACTGCATGTAAATACAGGCTTAACAGTAACTATGTTACTGCAGTGCATTCACATTCATTTCCTGCCGTAACCTGACTTCTCTCAGTCTTCTGGTTTCTTGTGTGGATATAAAGTGCTCAGTCTAACAGAACAAGACTAGTTAGTTTATAAACTAACTAACTAAAAATGTGTACATATGTAAGTATCCTGTTTGTTCCAAAAGAAGTGTAAAAAAGAAGGGAAAAGTAAATTTATTCTGTTAAAAGTTCAGTTATGAATATGTCAATTTTTTCTTTTTCTAGAAAGCGGAACCAAGCACTTCGGACAACAGTAACAGTCCAATCTGCATACTGTCCATCGTCCCGAATGATGAAGATGGAAATGCAGTCTTCCTGCAGCCATGTCAAGTCAACATAATCCTTGAAGGCAGAGTGGTGACATCACCCCTCCATTCGTGGCCTGATGCCCTCATTTACCTCTTTGGTCTTATTTATGCTTTGCACCTAAATTACCCAAAATCTATGTTAAACACGTTTCTTTTCATTCAGCAAGTACTCTTACACATTGATGGAGACAAACTGAAACCTAAAATCTTGGCCTTGAGCAAGAAACTGTAGGGTTTTTCCATCAGCCTGGGTTGGTACGCTGTGAGAAAATGCGCTTCCACTACAGCCTCAAGGGGATAGCCATGTTGCTGTGGTGGTCTTGCTTGGTAGCAGGGCCGACCCGTGCTGGTCTCTTTCCCTCAGTTGTGTCCTTGGTAGCTAAACTTGCGCGTCTGTGCTGGAGACCAGACAAAAAGCTCTGTTTTTAAGAGTCTGTCTGTGGTTGGGAGTTTTATTTCACTCCTGTTTTCCTGTTTGTACTTTCAGATATGAGCCTTTTTTTTTTACTGTTTACTGATTGCTTTCAGCTGTATTGGAGCCATGCTAAGTTACTGCTAATGCATACCAAACGTTTAATGCTGTTGCAGCTTGACATTAAAAGCTTTTCACTGGTGAACCAGAGGGATGCTTTTATTGTGAAGAAGTTATATGGAAAATCCCTATGAGGTAGGACAATTGATTCATACAGTGTTATAACACGTTATGATCTCTTGAGTTATTTTATTGATACAGTGGCACAAGTATTGTGATAGTGTTACTGAGCCAGAGTTGTATTCCTTTTGGTCCCTAAACTTTTTCTCTTTTTGGCAGTTGCGCCTTGTGTCAGTTTATGCCTTTTTATATTTGAATGATGGCATGATTTCATATGTGTGTGTGTGTGTATATGGTAAAAATGCTGATTCTGTTTTTGATACACTTTTTTGATTTCAGCTGTCTGTAAAACTGAAATCTCTGTTTAATGGAATAAATAAATACAGTAAACGAATGATAGCTGCAGTTTGAGAAAGATATTTTACTTTTTATGGTGGTATCTTTTCTTTTATGGTTACACACATATGGTGTATTATAGATACCTGTCAGCTGTATCATCTGTGCACTCATGCTTTTACTGTGGGCGAAATATTGTTAAGTATTGTATCGTCAGCTACCCAGCAATGCCCAGCGTTCATTTTCAGTATATTTACAGCTTTGTTTTTGTAACAATATAGGGGAAAAGTTTGAATTTGTCACCCCTTACACGTCATACTGTACATGGATGTTCCTGTAACCCCCGCTATGATGCCAGAACAAGTGTTGAAGAAATAGAGAATGTGAAGATACGTCATGCTGATTGGGACAAGAGCACCAACTTGTGAGGTTGTGCTGTTACTTGTGCCCATTACGGTGGTCAGCCTACCTGCTTACCTTTTGTCATAATTGGTTAAAAAGTTAGTTACATCGGTCAAACTGATGGAGAAAGGAAGAGTCAGGCAGAGGGTTTGATTTTACAGGTCAGTAATATTCGATGTTTTTCAGAATCACAAGAGAAAATTGAAACACAGCCTCCAACTCACCAACAGAAAGGCAGTGGGTCCTCACAACATGGTGCATTACCACCCAAAATTTAACATTGCCTGATGTCAACTTCACATTCTCTATAGATAACGCTTAAAAATATGATCCAAACTAAAATTAACTAAAACTTACAACAACATAAAATATGTATGTTAATTGAAATGACAAATGCTTATCATTAAATGTATTCAGCTCATTTTTGCTAATGTTGTGTACCAAAAAGTTGTCAGTTATGACAATAAAAATCTGAAATACTAATATCCTATTCTTCTAATATCTTAAAGATACCGAATGCTCAACATGAGTTTAGTATTTATTGCCACTATTTTTGTTACATTAATTAATTACATTAATATAGGAATATAAGTGACAGTCAACCCATATACATTAAGTGGCTTTAAAAAATGTTTCAAGTCCAATGAACCATTAAATTGTATGCTCTGTGCACAATTTGTTTGTTGTTTACAATATACATTATTTTGACATTAAAAATTTAGGTCATGTTGCCATAAACATTGTAACACAAATTTGGGTATTAATAGCTCAATGGACAGCATAGAAATTGTGCACTATGTATACATAGTGCACAACTTCTATGCTGTCCATTGAGCTTAACAATATATGCCATTTCAGCATTAAATTTCTAAGTTGTATTGACATAAACAGTATAACACAAATGTAGGTTTTGTTTCTACTCAAAGATTTTAAGTTACAAAAACAAAGAAATGGAAGTTGTACTCAACCTTTAAATTTAACATTGCTTTGACTAATTTTTACTTAATTATGTGTACTAGAAAATAATAAGTTGGTAAAAAAAACAGCAAATTGTGACAGTTTTATGTTAAGACAGCAAAACATTTTTGTGTTCAGCATAACTGTGCAACTCTTGTTGATATTACATGTTTTTGTTATGTAAAGTAAACACACATTTTTCATTTTATTGAACAAGAAAGTGACTGCTTGTCATATGAACATAAAAACATTGAGTACATATTTTTACAACCATTTGCAAGTTCATTCAACTTCTAAAATGTATATGTAGTGCACAATGTCTATGTTGTCCATTGAGCTTAACAATATATGCCATTTCAACATCAAATATTTAAGTTGTATTCATATAAACAGTATAACACAAATTTAGGTTTTGTTTCGACTCAAAGATTTTAAGTTACACAAACAAAGACATGGAAGTTGTACTCAACCTTTAAATTTAACATTGCTTTGACTAATTTTTACTAAATTATGTGTACTAGAAAATAATAAGTTGGTAAAAACACAGCAAATTGTGGCAGTTTTATGTTAAGACAGCAAAACATTTTTGTGTTCAGCATAACTGTGCAACTCTTGTTGATATTACATGTTTTTGTTATGTAAAGTGAACACACATTTTTCATTTTATTGAACAAGAAAGTGTCTGCTTGTCATATGAACATAAAAACATTGAGTACATATTTTTACAACCATTTTTTTAGTTCATTCAACTATCAAAATATATGTTAAGTGCACAAAGTATGTGTTGTTAATTGGCCTTGAAATAAATAGGCTACATCGGCTTTATAAATTTAAGTGAAATTAACTCAAAAATCAAAAATTGCTGACTTAACATAAAAAAATTATGTTGTGCTCACAAGGGATGAGTGTTTGTGTCAAGTGAACATAAAGTTTTTATGTCATTTTGACAGCCCTGAACATTTGTGTGGACTTTACAATAAAATTTTGTGTCACGGATGGATTGGGGTTTACAGTGCACAGTGGCCTGCGAGGAGACCACACAGTGCCAAATCTCACCTGTGAGCTCATTATCTGGATGTTCAGGACAGCTTTTGTCACTGCAGATAAAGTAACTGACAGGAAATGATGACCAGCAGCTGTTTAATGCTGTCTAATGCTAACCACTGTCTGGGTTTGTAGTCACAGTATGAATGTAGTGTATATGCAGTGTAGTCACCCCAGGAATTACATTCATTTTGAATAATTCTTCAGTACACAAGTTGAATCCAATGGTAGGGCTAATACTTCTTTGCTGGTGCTGTTGCTGGTGCTGTTACTACACCTCGTCTGAGAGCATAAAGAGTTTCATTCTGAACTGAGTGTAAAAGTGAACCATTTATTTCTACACACAGTGAGAATTATTTACAAAGAGTGAAGCAAACTTTTAGGTTGAAGCAAAAGCCAATGCAATAAATAAAACAAACTATCCTCCTAACAAAGGTTTTGACATATTTCGGTGAAGACAAAAAACAAACTAAAAGACCTCCACTAATCCAAACTCTCTAGGCTAAACCAAACGGGAGAAAACAGTGGCAAATAAAATGGTGATTCAACCTTTATACTTCTTACTATATACAACAAAGCTCAAGCTGGGGTCAAACAACAAGAGTTCTGGGCTGATTTATCCCCAGTCTTACTCATTTGACTTTCTGCTTGTGTTTTTCCCACAGCAAAGCATTATTAATATTACAGCAAGTTGTCCCAGCACATCAGCCTCCCTTTTATTTTCATCTGCTTTCACGTAAGTGAAATCACCTGTGGGTGTGCATCAATAATATTCTGTAGTGTATGCTGCGCCATAGAGTGCTGCAGGAATTATATATTTTGTTAGTTATTGTTGTCCTGGTTCTCTCGCCAAAGAACCAATGGGATTTTTCCATTGGATTTTGGGTTAGTGGATAAAATTAGCTCTGTGGCAAACAAAAGTGTATGACACTTTTCATTTTTGAAAACCCACACCTGTCAATACTCGCAAAGCTCAGAACCAGAACTGACCCATTACCCATCATTATGTCTAAGTCAAAGCCACACCCTGCAGCCCGACCTGCACTCATAATTAAATGATTTGCCCATACACGCACGCACGCACGCATGCACGCACACTTTATGTAGATAGATAGATAGATAGATAGATAGATAGATCAATGTAAACTGTTGTTCAAAGTGATGTCACTCTGTAGTCTCACAAAGCTGCTTGTTAGCAAAATTCAAAAGTTGGGTATTGACTGACTGACATACTTTATGTCAACAAAATATGAAAGTCTCTTATGCCTGTGTTAACCACAGACCTTATTTCAGGCTTCTAACCAAAAATCCATTCAAAAATCCATTGACTTAAACACAGGGGAACCGGGAGTGCTAAAATGTTAACTTATTTTATGTTATTTTATGTTCTTAGAGAGAACATCGGTGAAGTTTCTTCGTATGTAAGTGACGCAACCCGATTTCAATATTGGTTAGGATTTTAAAACTCCTGTAGTCTGAGCTTGCCTTTAGGGTAAAAAAAAAAAATAATAAAAAAATATACTCAAACAAGTTACCAGCCACAAAGCATATAGTTACCAGTAAATCACTGGCTCAAGCAAATTATCTAGATCACACTGGTCATAGGCAACATATTTTCTTTATTTTTTTTGATCATGTTTTTGTTTAATTGTTTTCAGAATTAAAAGCAGTTAGGCACCACAGTGATACACAGTTAAATCACAAATGTACAGTAACTTAAATCCCTTCCCCATTCATATGCTCTACCTTGCAGTTCTCTTTCGTACTCTGTTTATTCATTCCTCTACACTCACACACTCACATTTACCCCACCCACTCTTTATGCCCCCCTAGATCCCACTCTTTCATGGAGTAACTCCCTACCAGAACTGTACATTAGAGAAATAAATAAATACAAAAAGAAACTAGAAATACTACTTTGTGGTTGTATGCGTCTGCACACCTGTTAAGTTGCATTTTACAGGTTCTATCCATATCTGTGAAAACATTAATGCTACACACCTTCCCTTCTGTGGCACAGAAGCCCCATACAATCAAGACAGTATCAAGGTGGACACCGAAGAAGGTGTCACCAATTTAGTCTCTTACCGAATTTCTCCCTCTCTTGTTCCTGAAATATAACACGGAGTACTGGCAAGACAAGTGTTTATGCATAACATTATGAAGTCAAAGTAAAGTTGACCTTTGACTTTTTGGATAGAAAATTCTCTCGAGGCCTCCTTGAGATATCTTGTTCACAAAATGAGATGGACCTAAGGTCATAGTGACTTTTGACCTCTGACCACCAAAGTCTGATCAGTTCATCCTATTTGTTTTACTTGTTCTGTTAGGTCCCTCCACTTCTCTGCAGTGGGACTTAATTTTGGAAGCCAATTTTTGCTATAAGTTTGAGAGCAGTTATCCTTAATATTATAATTAGATACACATCCCAGCTTCCCCCATTCCCCTGGGGATTTTCCCAAGCAGAATAAATTCATCAGTGATACAAATTCCTAGTTTAATCACATAATTTCTCTGCTGATCTTTTGCCAATATACTTGTACCACAATACAGTTAAAAAACATATGACTTTAGTCAGAATTATTCTTTAGTGGCACAGGTTTAACAAGTTTGGAGGTTGAGGAGGACTGAGAGTTTGCTCACATGGTGTCACCCCATATACCACAATCAATCAGTCAATCAATCAATCAATCAATCAGTCAATAATTTAATCAGTCCATCAACAAATCAATCAATCATCCAACCAATCAACCAACTAATCAATAATTAATCTGCTGGGGTGTCGGTGGATTAGTGGATAGAGCAGGCGGCCCATGTACAAGGCTGTTGCCGCAGCGGCCCAGGTTCGAATCCAGCCTGTGGCCCTTTGCTGCATGTCATCCCCCCTCTCACACTTACCTGTCCTGTCCATTAAAGGCAAAAAATGCCCAAGAAATATCTTTAAAAAAAAAAAAAATTAATCTGCTGGAATAATACAAGGTACAACTCTAGTGAAATGTAGTCTGGGGCTGTTTAGTGGCCGTTTTGGTAAGGAGTCGAAACTAGGGCGAGAGAGAAAGCATCCGGAATTCGATGGATGCACCTTTCCGTCAAAATAAAAGCACCAAGCTAATAAAAATGCAGTGAAACTTTTTTAATTTAAAGAATATAATTTACAAGAAAAGCCCCAAGCCATTAAGTTAATCTTTTTCTTTAATTGTAAATCTATAGTGTGCCAGAAGTTTTACTTTGGTGAACACTCTTACTTTGGTGAATTTGGTGAATTCCGGATCTGCTCTCTAGACCGGAACCAAAATTCAGAGTTAATGGAAACCAGGCTCTTCCCCGTACGTGAAGAGCCTGGTGACGCGAGGCTAAGTGAAATGTGATCCCATCAGTTCCTTTAACTTGTGAACTTTTTTTCTTCTTACATTGTTGGCTGCTGCTT